TTTAAAGAATTTAATTGGCTAGTTCACTATAGTAAGGTAATTTTAATATATTTGATTTAAAAATTCGCTATATTAAGAGTTCGCTATATCAAGGTTTGACTGTATACTTAAAATTGGCTTTAAATCCACGTTAGCTCGCCAGCCCTGCAATTGAAGTCTGTTATGTAGATTAACATATGGATTGTTTCTTGCCATTACAAGCTCTGGTTGTCCACGTTCATCATCTCACACAAATGTTTGTTTACTAATTTCTTTAGAGTATTTAAATCTGCAGGTCTGTTTTCCTTCTCGGCTAATACGAAGACAATACACAGGGCTATATCGGGTATGTCTTTGTAATTTATTTATCAAGTCAATATAATCTTATTGATCATCATTTAATTTGTTGCTTTCTTTTGGCATGGATGCCATTCAGGAACAGGCATATCAAGTTCTGGATTAATTGTGGTGACGAGGCTATCAATGTATTGAACAACTTCATTTATTACTTTTCATCCTCTTTCATCTGCTTCCATTCTATACCAGATGCATTTCTTCTTTTTCCAATCCTATGCATATGAACACTACCGTGATGCTGCTATTCGAACCGATACTACTAATCCTCTAAATTCCACTGCTGTTTCAGAACGTCATTAAAGAAGATTTCCAATCACTTAACGAAGAACCAGTCAGCCATATGAGGATTGTCAATAATATTCTAGTGATGGCATTTAGCCGAATTTTCAGAATTTCTATGAGATGGCATAAGCTTATGAAGCTCAGGCCAGTGCAAGTCAGCTGCACTAAATGTAAAAAAGACTAAGCCTTGTGATCCTATTTGCTTAATCATGTCAATAAGTTCATAATGACGAGAATTCCAGAATTGCTGAAATCCACGCAATCCTTCACCATATCGAATAATCCTATCAGCAATGTGATGGTCTCCCGAAGAAATCCTTTCTTAGATATTTGTAACAGTGATCTGATCGTCAGTTAAGTTCTGCATAACGTATATTTTACCTTCTTGTAATGCACGCTATCGCATTTGAGAATTTAATGCGAAGTATCGCCATCGAGTATGACGCACAAATATTTCATCCTTATACAAAAGCAGGTGCTTAAAGTATTCAGCAGGATTAATTTTCCAAATACATGTTGCTCAAAGATCTGCACTTCCAGTTGGATATAAAGTTGGAAATGCGCATACGATATACCCTGGTGTCCGAAATTCATTAACCGAATTGTTACTGATCTGTAGCTATGTAATAGGTTGGTCTCCATTCTGAATATGACCAAGGGCATTTTTGATAACAACGTCTTCGTGATGAGCTGAAGGAGGAAGTGGAACAAAGGTGCGTGTAATCACTTTATCTTCATTTTCACAATTCAATTCTCCAGTATTCATTTGAGTACCTCGAAGCTGATCATCAACTGAACCATCAACTGGTAAGGATCAAAGAACTTCATGATCGATAATTATATCAGCGTAGTAATGATTGTTCTCCTTCAACCAATTTAATGTATGAATCACCTTAGTACAGCGAACTCTAAAATCCCTGAATACTTCCGAGTTAGTTGCGTGATAATGTATGACAAGCATCTCTAACATTGATAGATGTCAAGGGAGTTTTGTAGCAAGTTCCTGGACATCTTGAGGAAAGTTGATCACGTTTTCATGATATCCGTGTTGTTCTCCGCGAAGTCTGTAAACTGACATCACGGGAAAAACTCGCGCAATCAACATCTCCTCAATTTTTGTAAGATCTCGAAATTCATCAGGAACTTCACCTGAGTCCATATTATTCCCTGCTGAGAATTTTTTCAGAGAGGCTTCTCAGTATGATAACGTCGGCATTCACCTTTTACAAGTGTTATGGATGGGAAGCTTTCATTGCATATAGGGCAAAGAACATGTTTGAATTTATCAACTTTATCATGAAATTTCTTTAAAAGATTTTGTTCGAATTCACTTAGTTCACTGGCAGGAGATGGCTTGTCACGTGTATCTACGTCACAATTGCTTTGACCAGTTTTTTGCTGCGATCATCACTGTTGTGAATTCAAATTTTGATTTAAGTTATTCAAATAGGTCCTTCATTCCCAAAAATCATTTATATGTTTTTCACGTTATTCATCTGTTTCTATTGCTAATTTCGCGCGTTTTCATTCTCTGTTACGTACAAGACGCGCCTCATTTTCTTCAGCATTTTCTTTCTCTCTTTTTCGCTGCTTATATTCACGGTTCCTTGCAAGACGTGTTTCACGTTCATTTTGTGTTTCATTCTCTCTAGTTCTACGTTTTTGTAGAGTTTTACGGCTTGTAAATTTATTATCCATTATGTGTTAAAGAGAAATTCTATTAGTGGCTTGTATTTTTGTCAATTAAACATTGTACAATGCGATTATCAGCATATTAAATTACTGGATTTATTTTTAGTGTTACATTTTAGAGTAAAATAGTATCGGTATATATTATGTAAATTATGCTTAATTAATGTTAATATAAATTTTAATTCGAATCAAAGTTTAATTTATTATTGCAATTATTACTACAATTGTTATATAATTTGTTTTTATTATAATACTTTAAAAAATATAATGTATATAAGGTTTAAATTAACACATAATCGCTCTGGACTCACAATGGTTTCCATTTCCTAGTATTTAAAAATTAGATATAAATATAGTAATCATGAAAAAATATTATATTATAGTTAAAGCATTAATTATTACATAATCATAATATAGTAATTATGTAATAAAAATATGTAGTAATAATTATGCAATGATTAAGTAGTTCAAGGTAATTCTATGTTATAATTATTTAATATATCTGTAGTTTTAGATAATCCAAAATATATAAATAGGACAGTTAGTATTATTTGACAAAACAGATTTTTTAAAGCAGTTAGTTTTGAATTAAATACAACGTGAAGTATTAGCAATAATAATTATGTAATTAAATATAACATTATGATCTTTTTAATAAAATACTTTCTTTATAATAATCAAAATAAATCCAAATAAGCTAAAATTCAGATAGTTAATTAATGGTTAATTGATGATTAATTTATATTAATTCTGATTAACAAAATCAAAATCAATCAGAAATATCAATCAGTCATCAATTAGCTATCTAAAAATAACCTATATTAAACCTTCAATCATCTATCAATTATTTATCAATCATTTATTTAAAATCAGCCTAAAATAACCTAAAAATCATTTAAATTTAGCTATCAACAGCCTAAATCAATCTAAAATCAGCTTATTTAAATTTTATTAATTTATAATTTTATTATTTTACATAATTATAAATTTATTTTTTTAAAAAAAATAAGAAAAAATACTTTAAAAGCTATTTTTAATTAAGTTATATAAAATATATTTATAAAAAAAAAGTAAATAAAGAAATAAATTAAAAATTTATCTCAAAATTACCTTTAATTAACTTATTATAGTGTATTTAGAAAATAAAAAAAAATAAAAAGATTAAAATATCTATAAAAAAAGTCACTTTTGATTTACTTTACCTTAATTCTAAAATGAGATTTTTTCCTAAAAAATAAGAAAGGAAAATGGTAAATTTCTATTCAAAAGGACATCTGATTTACTTACCTTAACGTATTCCTAAAAAAAGTAAAAAAAAAATAAAGAAATAAAATGTTAAAAACTATTTTAAAGTTATTTTTGAAAGGTTAACCTTAGTTTTAAAATGTTAATTTTCCTAAAAAACAAGGAAAACAAAGAAAAAAGAAGTAAAAAATATTCTAAAATTATTTTTAAAAAACTTAATTTACTTTCAAAAAGAAAATTTCTTTAAAAAATATAAAAAAAAGATTAACTATCTAAAAGTTATCTTTATTTACTTACCTTAATTCTTAAAAAAAAAGAAATATGAAAGGTAAAAGATAAATTTCTGCCCAAAAATACTTCTGATTTATCTGATTTACTTACATTATTTCAAAATAAGAATTTTTTTAAAAACAAAAAAAAAGAAAAGTGATAAATTTTCATCTAAAAGTTGTCTTCAATTTACTTGGAATAAATTAATTAAAAATTGTAAACATTTATTATTACAAGAAGAAGAAGCAGAACAATAAGCTGAAATAGATTTGAATTTTGATATTGAAATTAATGATATTTTAATTGATCAAATACATCCTGCATTAGATCAAGAAGCAAAATAGAATATTGAACAAATTTTTATTGATGATTTAGAAATACCATTTTTCATTGATAAATAATCATAAAATTTATATAATAGTTAAATATAATAATTATTTTTTTAAAATCATATTTTTGTTTTTATTTAAATAAATAAAGTTAAAATTTAATATTTTAAATATAGACTAATATTAAATTTTAAATAATATAATAAATTGATTATATACTAATTTATCAAAAATATCAAAAACAATTCTAATACAAGTAAATTAAATTACAATTACTTGTTAATTAGTAATTATAAAAAAGATAAAATATAATTTGTTAAATTATTATGATAATCTATGTCAAATGATACTAATTTCAATCTTTAGAATCAATAGATAATATATTATTAGCAAATTACAATTCAATATATTTTGAAATAAATATTTATTTATCAATTATAAATTTTTTATAATACTACCATTTGATATAGCTTATTATAAGGATTCTAATAAGCTATATTTCATCCTTTTACATTTGAATTAGAATTATCAGATTGGTAAATATAAAAATATATTTGGCCAATTTGGCCAGCTAAAACTTAAAAAAAAATTTTGGCCATTTTGGCTATGGTTGTGGTTAATGACCAAATGGTCATGGCCAAACACTGGCCAAATAGAACCCTGCCCTAGCTCCCTGCCAGTTTTACGACACATGTTAAACCGCTAAGTTATTTCTCAAATTACAGCTAGTCAGATTAATAAAAATAACTCATATATTCCATTCGATAAACAGTTATACAGCATTTAAAGGTATACTGTAAAGCGCACTTTATAGTATCCTAGGTATTTTACATTCTACAAAATTTTAAGGGATACTATAATCAAAGGGGTACTTTTGTGCGATGGGGATACAATACATGGCAAAATAGTCTTAACTATATATAGGTAACAAGTTAATAGATATAACGCGATAATTTTTTTTGATTTAACTATGGCGATAATTGGTAATAAACGTCGTAAGCATGCTAGAGTTACTAAAAAACTTTGATGATAATGATGTTCTTATGAAAAACTTATGATATTACATTATGCACAAAGAGTTCAAAGTAAAAAGGCTGCTGCAAAAAGGTTTGATATTGAATCAAAGCAAATAAGAGATTGTGAAAAAAGTGAACAACTTATGACTTCAGCTCCATATATTAAAAAGTTACATCCAGGAAGGTCTCCAAGTTTACCTGATGTAACCCAAATAATCTTTAGAAAATTAGAAATGTGACGCAGTAAAGTGATCTGCAAATGATCATCATGTGAATTGA